TATACTTGGGTGCACAAAATTGATGACAATTTTATTATCTAGATCTTTTTTTTTTGGGGAAGGGCTCCCAAGAAGTTTTCGAAAGTCTTAAACCTGTTTCCATTTCCTGACAGCCGTTTGATAACTGGGTCACATCAACCTCTCAGGTTTCATAAACGCTCCATGTTGTATTAGTCTAGCGCAGGATCACCACCAGGTACCCCCGGGATTCATTTCAATAAATGTTGTAAAGAAACACGGGCCTTACTCTAGCTTTTTTGAAATAGAATTTTCATATACTTCTGCAACAACAAAATATAATGACTAGTACATCTAATAAGGCTTCACGGGATGGTGATGTCTTGCAATTCAAGAAAAAAGTTATAACTACGGGCCACATATTAAACTCACCATTAATCTGCATCGTAAAATAAAGGGATAAAGTGGGAAGAATCACACACCATGTTTGGTGCCCATGACCACACCAACTGTTGTGTTTTTAAAGGGCCCCTAGGGTGGTGCAGTATTATCCCTGCTGCTCCCCACAGACCAGTATCATACAACCCATATCAAAAAAATTTTTTGAAAGGGTCCAAAAAGCAAGATCACCCCCTCAAACCCCCATCATTACAACCCGGGGCAACATGGTTTAGAACAGGTCGTCCTGTCTGTCTCAACTACTAAATCACAAAAAGGTCCAAAATGCACTAAAACAAAAAAATGCAGTTTAATATATACAGACTTTGAAAAAGCCTTCGAAAATTTTGGCCAGGGCGTAATACCACAAAATGCGCGCAAAAAGGAAAAAAAGAAAAAGTGGGTCGATGGATCTATAATTTCCTCAAAAACAGAACACAAAGTAGCTCAACAAGAAAGTCGGGCAGCAGGGTGAAAACTCTGTTCCAAAAAGGGCCAGTACAAAGCTCCCTCTTGCCCTCATCCTCAATCCACAAGAAAAGGGATTCAGCCCCCAAAACCGGGTTCTTCCTTTGCAGATGACACCCGAATCTCATGACATTTTTTTTTCCTTTTGCAACACTGAAGGCTCCGGGCGACATCAACCAAATTTTCAGTGGGCTGCAGAAAACATATGAAGTTCAACGATGAAAATTTCAATTACTCAGATAGGGGAAAACACGGGGAAATTAAATCTTCACAGAGTACAAAACAATTCTGCCACAAAATAAGCAAAACACCAAGTAAAAGACCTGGAGTATCAGTCGGGGATCTCACCTTAAAAGGACCATAACATTGAAACAATCGCATCTGCTAGAAAATGACCGAGGGAAAATAAACCTAAAAAACTAGGGGGCCAACCCTGAGACATCTTCAGGTAACTTTTCTATCTAGGTGGAATATTGCTGCACCTAAGAGCACCTTTCAAGGCAGGGGAAATTGCTGACCAGAAAATTACAAGAACCTTTAAGCACGCATAACGGAGATAAAAAACCCCCCCTACTGGAGCGCTTGAGGTTCCTAAACCTTATTCCCCGAATGAGGCGGGGGAGATACTGATTATATACACCGGGAAAAACCTAGAGGGCCCGTGGGCCCCGGGGGCCTGTGGGAAAGCTCCTGCTTCACACACGGGGGGCCCGGGTTCGATTCCCGGCGGGGAAACATTTCGACACGTTTCCTTTCACCTGTTTCCCGTTCACCTAGCACAAATATACCGGGGTTAGTCGACTGGGTGGGGGCGCACCGGGGACAAGATTAAGGGCCCCAAGGAAAAAAAATTTGACAGTCCCCCGAGACGCACTGAAATTTTGGTTTTCCTGGGTGGCTAACCTCCGGGTTAAAAACCCAACGAAATCTTATCTTACTTTTCTTTCCGAACTTGCACACAAATCACCACTACAAAAGCAAAAACTTGCAGACGATCAACACCCCCAAAAAAGCGGGTTCACTACACGTTAAAGACCATACAAAAGTGTCAGGGCCCGAAACTGTTTTTACGCCCCCAGCAACATAAGGGGAATTTCCACAACCCCCGGGAGTCTTCAAACTCACTGGACAAGCACCTAAAGTCGGGTTCCCGACCGCCCAGGGTGCGGGTTTAACGTTTGTTTGCTTCACCAGCAGCAACACCGGGATCAGCTCTGATCCCAGGAGCCTGTCACAGACTGGGGCCCCGGGGGGGTTTTTACCCCCGGAACTCTCTCCAGGTAAACTCTAGGCACAGTGAAGAGGTGTCTCCTTAAAGTACTACACCGGAAGAGAATTAATTTGGAAGAATTCCGTGCAGTGTTAGTGGAGGCGGAAAATCGTATAAATAATAGGCCTCTCTTGTACACGAGTGATACACCTGATGCAGATGTATTAACACCTTCTCACCTAATATGTGGAAGGAAATTGGAAGCTGCTCCTGTCTATAGAGATAATCCGGAAGAAAATGATGAAGATTACAATGATGCAACAGTGTTGTGTGATAAATTTAAAATGTTAAATAAAGTAATTGATCATTGGTCTAATGTGTGGCGTAAGGAATATCTTCTTACTCTACGTGAACACTTTTATGGTGCGACAGAGGCAGTAAATCGACAGAACATTCAACCAGGTGACATTGTGTTGATTGATACTGAACAACATCGAACATTGTGGCCTCTGGGCAAAGTATTGATATTGTACCCAGATGCACAAGGTGTTGTCAGGAATGTCAAAGTGTTGTGTCGTGGCCAGGAAAGTTTACGCACAATTAATAAATTGATTCCCTTGGAATTAGGTGTTCAATCAAACGTAAATGAAAATCTGAGGGAAAGTGACACGAGTGATATGGAAGATAATGCTGATCAAGTGATGCCGGAAAATGAAATCGTAGTAAGACCTACTAGGAGAACAGCCACTCAAGCCAGAACCGGCTGGAATCGTCTCCTAAAGGAAGGAGTAATTTGAGTCGTTTAGCAACGAACTCCGCCCGGCCGCAGTGTGGAAAATACTGTATATATTTTCCAGAAATACAGTAGTTATATGTAAATAGATGGCCATACTGTATTTAATAATATTTATGTCATAGAAAATGGGAAACTGGGCCTGTGTCTGCGCAGAAGACACTTGCCATTGTTTGTTTGAACTGAAGTAACAAACATTAGTGAATGTGAAGAATTTCCGTGCTCTAGAGGTTAAAATTGGGTTGACACCTCTCAAATAGGAGGCGAAATTGTTGGATGTGCATTCCTGCATAACCTTAACCTTGAGTATCAGGCGACAGGACAGGACAACTCCAGGAACCTCAGATAAGCTATCTAATTTATGTTTAAATTCTGGCCAGTAAATTTTTCATAAATGTAGGCAAAAGGGGGGGTCCTGTACATGACACATTAATCTCCAGTCAAATTGGTGAGTGTTATGATTTTAAGATATTCTCTTTCTGTTATGTAAAGGTGTGTATATACATATATATAATATATATATATATATATATATAAAATATATATATATATATATATATATATAATAAAATATATATATATATATATATATATATATATATATATAATCATTTATTAATTTTAATATACAGTCCACAAACTTATATATTTACCAGAATTCCTGGTGTATGTACATTTTATTTGTAATTAATAGATCCAGAGCAACTTGTGGATATGACAGTGGTAGGTATCGAAGGGGGACATTTTTTTGCGACCTAGGTGTCCCAGATTCCTACTTGTCTAACTGATAAATAATAATTATCTTTGTTCATTTACTGTTATGTACATAATGATACATTCAGATAAATGTAATTTTCCACAGTATTTTTGGAGAATATACAATATTTTCCACAGTATGGTTTGTTTGCAATTGTGTCATTACGGTGTCGTGAGACATAGTGACACATATTGTACGTCTCGTATCTTTAAACCTATAGCGAATAAGCTTTTTTCGATGTGATATTTGGACTCAGGACATGAAAATACATATGAATTAACTAATCTCACTTAACAGCATACAACTTTTCAAAAATTGTTGACCAATGTTATCAACAACCTAAATTTCAGCACCCATATCCAGCATATAACCAAAAAAGTATCCAAAACGGTTGGGATCCTCTCCAAGATACAATACTACGTGCCGCAAAATGCCCTTCTCACACTATACCACTCACTTATTTATCCATACCTCACCTATGCTATCTATGCTTGGAGTTCAACTGCAGCAACACATCTAAAGCCAATAATAACCCAACAAAAAGCTGCAGTAAGAATAATCACTAAATCCCATCCCTGGCAACACCCCCCCCCACTCTTCATAGACCTAAACTTACTTCCTGTTCAGTACATCCACACTTACTACTGTGCAATCTACATCTACAGGACCTTAAATTCAAATATTAACCTTGACCTAAAACGCTTTCTTGATAGTTGCGACAGAACCCACAGGCATAACACCAGACACAAACATCTCTATGACATTCCCCGTGTCCGACTAAACCTTTACAAAAATTCAATGTATGTCAAAGGCCCTAAAATCTGGAACACCCTACCTGAGAACTCTAGAACTGCAGACACATTCATCACCTTCAAAACTACCATTAGAAAACATCTTATCTCCCTGATACACCCTGTCAACTAATTACACGAATACCACCTGGTGGTTAACACTTACACTCACTCACCCATTTGACCATAAACAGAAATATCAATCTCAATCTCAAAATAATGAATCTTAACTAGTCATAAGTTGGCCTGTGATACTCCAATACTGAAACTATGTATAGTGCCAAAACAAAAGCATTCACATTGCTAAACTCACAACTAGTATTTAGTCACTTAGCCATAATACCAACTTACCTCATAATTTTGTAATATTTTAAACTTAAGATTTAATTTAAGTCTGCCCGAAATGCCTAGCCATGTTTGGGTGTTCTAGTGGTACACTCTGTAATTATTATTTTACTACATGTAAACCACGCAATAACCAAATTCTGTAAACTCAGCATTGTAATCCTTATAGAGAATAAACTTTGAATTTGAATTTGAATTTGAATTTGACAGTGTCACTCATCATTAAGGCTTCACTAATAAGGTTCATACCATCCTCGGACACCATCAACCTTTAATACCCAACAATAACAATGGTTCTACCAGGATCTTCGGCATCTTAGTTTTTATCATTTTCTGCTAGATAAAGGGAGGCAGAACTCGGTACAAATTAAGTTCAAGTTGTCCTTGATAGCGCCAACACCATGGATGAAGACGCCTTCAACTTGCAGTGTAGCGAGGAAGAAATTGAAAAGGAATTTACGAATACTGTGTATGGTAAGTGTCCAGTGTATGTGGATGATATTGTTATACACAATGTACATCCTGGGAGCTTAAGTCTGCCTTTGACACTTGTTCCAGTCACACACATAGTCATTGAAAAGCCTAGTATAGGTGTAATTTGTGTCGGCAAAACTATTGTATACCAGGCCTCATGGTGGAACAGGGCCTGATCAACCAGGCTGTTACTGTTGGCCACACGTAAACTGACGTATGAACCACAGCCCGGCTGATCAGGTATTGACTTAAGGGGCCTGTTCAAAGCCTTCTTGAAGATATATAGGGGTCTATTGGTAATCCCCCTGATGTATGCTGGGAGGCAGTTGAACAGTCTTGGGCCCCTGACACTTATTCTCCTGTCTCTTCCCCTCAAGGAAGGTTCCTTGATGTTGGTGAGGGGCTCTTGATTTAGGGAATTGGATCTGTGCTCCAGTTCCCCGAATTAAGCCTGAATGCCTTCCACATCCCCCCCCAGGCGCTATATAATCCTCCGGGTTTAGCGCTTCCCCCTTGATTATAATAATAATAATAATAATCTCCTGTCTCTTATCGTGCTAGTGGCACCCCTACTTTTCATTGGGGGGATGTTGCATCACCTGCCAAGTCTTTTGCTTTCATAGGGAGTGATTTACATGTGCAAATTTGGTACTAATTCCTTGAGGATTTTCCAATTGTATACAATCACGTATCTCTCCACCTGCGTTCCAGGGAGTACAGGTTGAGAAACTTCAACCGCTCCCAGTAATTTAGGTGTTTTATCATACTTATGTTTTCCGTGAACGTTCTCTGTACATTTTCTGGGTCAGCAATTTCACCTGCCTTGAAAGGTGCTGTTAGTGTGCAGCAATATTCCTGCCTAGATAGAACAAGCGAGGGAGAGAAAGGAGAGAAAACTCCAAGTTAAGCACCAAAGCACCAAGTGCACTGTTACCACTCATGTCTACCCTGGAGGATGCCATTGCATCATCCACCCCCGTCACCACTGCCTGGGACAACAAAACAACAACAACAACCATGGCAGACGACCCCAAGCCGTTCTCAGGATTCAGCCAACATTCATTCTCGCCCACTCCTCACCTTGTAGCTGACAGCACCCCATCAACCATGGCAAACACACAAGACCTCTTCACCCCAACCAACGGCACTGAAGCTTACCAACATCCCCAGGTATGGCACCGGTGCACAGTCCTCTTCAACAACACACCATTCGGAAGTGTTTACAAGAAAATTATACCCTCAAACTACAAAATGAAACCTAAGAAAAAAGGACTACAGACTTAGAATGCTCTAGTAACCCATAATTCAAGGATCATTGAACTGGAGACAAAACTAACAAACATGACAACAAAGACTGAACAACACACACATACAAACAGCTCTCATTAGCGACACTAAACAACTAGCTTCACTAACAACTAAGTTATTAGAGGCTGAATGAGACTGGAGGACAAACTTGGACTCTCAGTGAAGGGAATGCCTACAGTATCAAAGGGACATTCTGGAACAAGATAAATTGCAAGATGCTGTTATTTTAAACAGTCCCACCTTACCAACAAACACAAACCAGGACAACTGCACAAAATGCTCTTCAGCTAATCAGAGACAAGATGCAGATTAACATGGAAGCTGCCCATATCAAGGAGGCTCGACTGCTAGGCAGACCAGTTCAAAAACAAAAGTGTGATGCCAAGATTTCACTCACTTGGCCGAAAAAAGGACCTTATAGGTTCTTTCATCCAGGCGAATTATGGAGTGTTTGTTAATGAATGTTTAACAAGAAAGCAACAAAACCTACTATACAGACTTTGTAAACTCAAAAATGAAAATAGTGATAGAATCAAAAAATGTTTCACTCGTGATGGCACAGTTATAGTGAAACGGTCGAACATGGGTCGAGGATATGAAATAACAAATGAACATAACCTATTCAGGTTCCCCCAAATTGCTGGACTGACTGAGTCTGGTTATTTTAATAATTTCATTGATATCAGCCATGTATAGTGCAACATGTATAGTGTAAATTGCCCCACTTTTTATTGCTGAACATATAGTGCCTTAATTCAATTCCATGTCTTTTTTTTATTATCTCCTGCCTTGGTAACAATATTATCAGTTAAAAGATTATGTTGAAAATTATTGTGCACTCATTTGTCTAGCAAAAAAGGGTATACAGTAGGGCCCCACTTATATGGCAGGTTAGGTTACAGGCTACTGCCGGAAAGCAGACATCGCTGGAAAGCAGAACTCCATTTTTTCCACTTACAAATGCATATAAATGTGAGATAACAAGTTTACACCAACATATATTAATTTAGCATTAGAATTAGGCATTAAAAACAATAAAAAGTAAAGTACATACACAGTACACTCATTACATACCTTAAAATATTTGTAGTCTTAATGTAGGGTGAGAGGTGAGTTTTATTTGTAGGAAGTCAGGCTTGGGAGGTATGGTAGCCAGCCAGGTCAGTCCACCCCACCCACATGTAATATACTAAGACATTTAATTAACCCTTTGACTGTCGTGGCCGTATATATACGTCTTACGAGGTACCGTGTTTGACGTATATATACTCATAAATTCTAGCGGCTTCAAATCAAGCAGGAGAAAGCTGGTAGGCCCACATGTGAGAGAATGGGTCTGTGTGGTCAGTGTGCACCATATAAAAAAAATCCTGGAGCATGCAGTGCATAATGAGAAAAAAAAACTCCGACCATTTTTTAATTAAAATGCCGGCTTTGTGGTCTATTTTCGTATAGTATTTATGGTTGTATTCTCGTTTTCTTGGTCTCATTTGATAGAATGGAAAACATATTATAGAAATAGGGCGATTTTGATTGATTTTACTATAAAAAGAACCTGGAAATGGAGCTCAAAGTAGGGGAAATGTTTGATTTTTGCTGATGTTCAAAAGTAAACAAATTATGTCATTGTCCAATAAATGTCCAACTAGCCATTCTAATATGCAGTCATGAATGGGTTGATGTTATTTATACAATTATTACAGTATTGCAGTAGTCTGCATAATAGTAAATCTATTTTTTGTTTGAATAAAAATTCAAAATAGAAAGCAAGAGTAATATCAGAGGGGCCTGGAGACATGACTGATGAACAAAGAAAATGTTATTTTAGAGCCAGGAATGTCTGCATTGTTCATTCTGGACCTTATTTTGAAATTGTCATATTTTTTAATTTTCATGAAATTGGCCAAATTGCAAATTTCTGACCACGTTATTGGGTAGTTGAAATTGGTAAATGGGCAGTTTCTTGTACTCAGTCGATAGAAAAAATGGAGTTCTAAAGAAATAGCTATGAGTTTGGTCGACTGGAACAATGGAATTTGCCGAAAATAGGGCTCAAAGTGGGCGAAATCGCCGGTTTGTAAATATCGCTGAGAGCGTAATTCTGTCACTTTTCCATCAAATTTCGTTTTTTTGGTGTCATTACAATCGGGAAAAGATTCTCTATCATTTCATAAGAAAAAAGAATTTTTTTTTTTTTTTAATTTTGTAACACCAGGAGACACCTCAGGATTAGGGGTTGCGACAGTCAAGGGGTTAAAGCACCCCAGACAATAAAATATGTATACAGTACATTCATTAATTACCTTATAATATTTGTAATCTTAATGTAGGGTGAGAGGTGAGTTTTCTTTGTAGGAAGTCAGGTTTGGGAAGTATGGTAGCCAGCCAGGGCAGCCCTCCCTACCCCACCCCACCCACACGTAATGTAAACAAACCAGGCAAATGCATCTGGTATTCACTCATACACTTTTTGTATTATACAGGTACCATCCGACTTATGACTGAGCTTCGTTCCGACAAACCGGTTGTAAGTCAAAATGGACGTAAGTCAAACCTTACTACTGAATATCAACATCACATTTTTGTAATGACTTTATTTTATTGTTTTATTTTGGTATTTCATTTTATACTTTACTTTTTATGCTGTTAGTACTGTATTTTATACTGTAAGGTTCAAGGTTCAGGATGAACACTATGTACAACACAAACACTTGTTTATTTCCCAGAAATTTGACATAGAAAACATGGTCGTAAGTCGAATGGTCGTATGTCGAGCAGGTCGTAAGTCGGATGGTAGGTGTACCATAAATAAGTAAGTAATAATGTGTCCTGCTGTGGACATAGAGACAATGTTTGTAAATAATTTCGCCTGTTTGCGAAGTGTTAAGCATTTCAAATCTCTTTCGTTGTCCACAGCATGTGGCAGGATTCGATGAAATAACTTTAAAATGAGCTTGGTGCCTGGGGGTATGGGAAACATCTCTTAACTTCGGCTAAGTGCCCATATTTTTCGCAGGTCTAGTCTTGTGGTAAAGTACTGTGGACTCTGTTACAGAGTTAGCAAGTTCGAGTCCTGCTGTTGACGTAGAGACAATGTTTGTTGAGTAAGTAATAAGTTTATTCAGGTATTCACAAACACAGTTATACATAGATTATCATACATAGCAGCATATGTGCAGAGAACCTAGGATAACCCAAAAAAAGTCAAAGTGACTTATTTCCATACAAACACTTTACATTGTGTACAAGTTGTCTCCACGTTGATACAGTAGAATAAATAAAGAGAAACACTCCTATTCTTATGTAACACCATTTTTAGAAGAAATGATGCTCTCAGTGAAGGCATATAGAAATAAGTCACTTTGTTTGTCTTTTTTGGGTTATCCTAGGTTCTATACACATATGCTGCTATGTATGATAATCTATGTAACTGTATTTGTGAATATCTGAATGAACTTATTTACATACGAAAGGAAATATTTTCTAGTTACCCCCAGTAATATTATAGTGTACACATTTTCTCTGATGATGGACTACAAGCCGCCTGGCTACCACAAGTCCTACAAGTCGCCTGGCTACTACACCTCATATTTATGTTAATTTATTCTACTGTGGGATGTATTTATTGTTATATGTTATGTAGCATGTTTATTATATAATTTTGAAAAAAACATCATAGCTGGATTAATTTTAATGTCTGTATTAACGTAATATAGGACATTTAATACGCCCAAGAGATATGTGTTATTAATATAGTGTCAAGAGTAGAGAGAGACTTAGTGAATGTAATGTGTACCTGCACAGTGTGTAAGTATACAGTAGGGTCCTGCTTTACGGCATTTCGCCTTATGGTGTTCTGCTAATTCAGCGATTTCCAATTATGATCAAAATTTGCTATACGGCAAGCGGTATTTCAAATACGGTGCACCCCACCCGCTTTGTTTACATTCTCCATGAGTACATATCTCTATTGTGTGTGGAAATTTTCCAGAATTTCAAGTGTTTTAAAGTTATTGCATATTTTATATGTACTCTGATAATTATACTTATGTGTACCTGTACCTAAATATATTTACACACTCTGCTGGCATGCAGGTACACATTAAAATCACTGAGTCTCTCTCTGCTCTTGAAGACACCATAATAATAATACATGTAATCTCTTGGGTGCATTAAATGTCGTATATTACACTAATACAGTGTATAGACATTTCTATTAATCCACCTATGATATTTCTTCAAAATTATATAATAAACACACTACATAACATATAAATATGATACAGTAGGGTGCCGCTTTTTGGTATTTCGCCTTACGGTGTTCCACTAATACGGCAATCTCAAATTATGACCAAAACTTTCTATACGGCAAGCCATCTTTCAAATACGGCGCGGGCCACCCAGTTTATTTACATTCTTCATGAGTACATCTCTCTCTTATGTAATAATTATCACTCTTGGGCACATTAAATGTCTAATTTTACATCAGTATAGACATTTTCATTAATTCATCTATGATATTTTCTTCAAAATTATGCACCTACCATCCGACTTACGACCGAGTTTGGTTCCGAGAAACCGGTCGTAAGTTGAACTTTACTACTGAATATCAACAAAACATTTTTGTATTGACTTTATTTTATTGTTTTATTTTGGTATTTCATGTTTTACTTTACTTTTTATGTTGTTAGTACTGTATTTTATACTGTAAGGTTTAGGATAAACACTGTGTACAACACAAATAGTTGTTTATTTCCCAGAAATTTGGCATAAAAAACATGGTCGTAAGTCGAGCAGGTTGTAAGTCGGATGGTAGGTGTATAAGAAACACATTACATATCACATAAACATCCTGTTTATATGCTATGGAGGTGTGGTTGCCGGGTGAGGGAAAATATTCCATAATACTAATAATAATCACCCTTGGGCACATTAAATGTCTTATTTTACATCAATATAGACATTTTCATTAATCCATCTATGATATTTTCTTCAATATTATATAAGAAACACGTTACATAGCAAATAAACATACTGTTTATATGCTATGGAGGTGGTGTTGCCGGGTGGAGGGAAAACATTACTTAATACTGTACTAATAATAATCACTTGGGCACATCTAAATGTCTTATTTTACATTAATATAGACATTTTCATTAATCCAGCTATGATATTTTCTTCAAAATTATATAAGAAACATGTTACATAGCATATAAACATTTTACGTTTAAATACTATGGAGGTGTGGTAGCCGGGCAGAGGGAAAACAATACGTCACTTCCCTTAATACATAACGCTTTTGTTTACAATTCTCGGCTTAAATTATTCACTTCTTCTCCATTTGTTTATGATGGCATCTAAAGGTAGTTGTTAGAAATGATTAAACTCGGTGAACGTGGTATGTCGATGGTAATAATATGGCTCTGGGCTGCTAAGTAGGTAGGTGTATATAGCTATGTAGGTAGGTGTAGGTATGTAGCCCAGGTGGACTACATATACCTACATTATTATAATAATAATAATAATAGGTAGGTAGACGGCAACCACCCAGGGAAGTACTACCCTCCTGCCAGATGACTGTGAAACAGAAACCTGTAACTGTTTTACATGATGGTAGGATTGCTGGTGTCTTTTTCTGTCTTATAAACACGCTAGATAACAGGGATATCTTGCTACTCCTACTTACAGTTTGGTCACACTTCACAGACAAGCACATGCATATATATATATACATACATCTAGGCTTTTTTCTCCTTTTTCTAAATAGCTCTTGTTCTTCTTTATTTCTTCTATTGTCCATGGGGAAGTGGAAAAGAATCTTTCCTCCGTAAGCCATGCGTGTCGTATGAGGCAACTAAAATGCCGGGAGCAATGGGCTAGTAACCCCTTCTCCTGTAAACATTTACTAAAAAAGAGAAGAAGAAAAACTTTATAAAACTGGGATGCTTGAATGTGCGTGGATGTAGTGCAGATGACAAGAAACAGATGATTGCTGATGTTATGAATGAAAAGAAGTTGGATGTCCTGGCCCTAAGCGAAACAAAGCTGAAGGGGGTAGGGGAGTTTCGGTGGGGAGAAATAAATGGGATTAAATCTGGAGTATCTGAGAGAGTTAGAGTTAAGGAAGGGGTAGCAGTAATGTTGAAGGATCAGTTATGGAAGGAGAAAAGAGAATATGAACGTGAAAATTCAAGGATTATGTGGATTAGAGTAAAGGTTGGATGCGAAAAGTGGGTCATAATAAGCGTGTATGCACCTGGAGAAGAGAGGAATGTAGAGGAGAGAGAGAGAGATTTTGGGAGATGTTAAGTGAATGTATAGGAACCTTCGACCAAGTGAGAGAGTAATTGTGGTAGGGGACCTGAATGCTAAAGTAGGAGAAACTTTTAGAGAGGGTTGTGGTAGGTAAGTTTGGGGTGCCAGGTGTAAATGATAATGGGAGCCCTTTGATTGAACTTTGTATAGAAAGGGGTTTAGTTATAGGTAATACATATTTTAAGAAAAAGAGGATAAATAAGTATACAAGATATGATGTAGGGCAAAATGACAGTAGTTTGTTGGATTATGTATTGGTGGATAAAAGACTGTTGAGTAGACTTCAGGATGTACATGTTTATAGAGGGGCCACAGATATATCAGATCACTTTTTAGTTGTAGCTACACTGACAGTAAAAGGTAGATGGAATACAAGGAGAATAGAAGCCTCAGGTAAGAGAGAGGTGAAGGTTTATAAACTAAATGAGGAGGCAGTTAGGGTAAGATATAAACAACTATTGGAGGATAGATGGGCTAATGATAGCATAGGCAATGGGGTCGAAGAGGTATGGGGTAGGTTTAAAAATGTAGTGTTAGAGTGTTCAGCAGAAGTTTGTGGTAACATGAAGGTGGGTGCGGGAGGGAAGAGGAGCGATTGGTGGAATGATGATGTAAAGAGAGTAGTAAGGGAGAAAAAATTAGCATATGAGAAGTTTTTACAAAGTAGAAGTGATGCAAGGAGGGAAGAGTATATGGAGAAAAAGAGAGAGGTTAAGAGAGTGGTGAAGCAGTGTAAAAATAGAGCAAATGAGAGAGTGGGTGAGATGTTATCAACAAATTTTGTTGAAAATAAGAAAAAGTTTTGGAGTGAGATTAACAAGTTAAGGAAGCCTAGAGAACAAATGGATTTGTCAGTTAAAAATAGGAGAGGAGAGTTATTAAATGGAGAGCTAGAGGTATTGGGAAGATGGAGGGAATATTTTGAGGAATTGTTGAATGTTGATGAAGATAGGGAAGCTGTGATTTCATGTATAGGGCAAGGAGGAATAACATCTTGTAGGAGTGAGGAAGAGCCAGTTGTGAGTGTGGGGGAAGTTCGTGAGGCAGTAGGTAGAATGAAAGGGGGTAAGGCAGCTGGGATAAAGATAGAAATGTTAAAAGCAGGTGGGGATATAGTTTTGGAGTGGTTGGTGCTATTATTTAATAAATGTATGGAAGAAGGTAAGGTACCTAGGGATTGGCAGAGAGCATGCATAGTTCCTTTGTATAAAGGCAAAGGGGACAAAAG